TCACGAGTACTCCTGTCTTTTTGCGGATACAGACTAACACGGCTGCTACTCTGAAACCTTGCACACTTAAGATACAACAGAAACAATTTGACAATAAATACCCTAAATATGATCTCCCTGGCCCACCCCACCCCCAATGCCCTGTATTCAGAGAAAGGCAGCCACAACTCAGATAGTAGGACTCTGTTAGCTACATCTTGCTGACCTGAAATGGTTTGCCCATCCCTTGTCATAGGGCAGGGTCCCCCAACCTTCCTGCGTGCCCAGCTAACATTGACTTCAGTGGGTGGAAGTTGCAGGGAATTATTTGCCCAAACCCTCAAACACTTGCTGCTGTGCATGGTGCTTACTACTGAGGGTTGTTCCAGTGAACTCTTCTCAATTGGTGAGTGTGTGTCAGTTGTCGGCTAGGGAAGTATTACACTGGGAGGCCTTTGGATCGGACCCTAAGGGTATGGCTACACTGCAGCGAGGAGGCATGATTCCCAGCAAAGGTAGACAGATTAGATGCTGCGGCTCCAGCTAGCCACCCGAGCCCAAGCCCGCCTGACCCTCTGAGTCCAAGCTCACGGCTGCCCTGTGCCGCAACATCCACGTTGCCATTTTTAGCGTGTCGCGTGCGCTGAGCTAATGGGAGTCTGTCTCCCCGTGCTGGGAATCGTACCTCCCAGCTGCAGCGCAGACATACCCAATTCAACAAACACTTACTAGCCTAGAGAAGTTCAGTGGGACAGCTCACAGCCAATGGGCTTTGGATCACGCCCTTCATGAGCCACATAGATGTTGCTGCTTCGTATAGTCATTTTCCACCTTGCCGCATCATTTGTTTTTTGTTGTTGCTATTTTTCCCCCCCTGCCCTTCTCCAGCATCTTGGCAAATTGGAATCGTTTCACTGAGGGTTGCAGTTCACTAAATCTAAACAGAGCTTGTATCAAATATCACTCATTACTCCATAAAATAGTTTTCTGGCACACTCAGATGGAAAGCATTTGAGTCCAAGTCTGTCAGACCTTATCGCTTGGTAGCCGTCGGATCCCATTAGCGCTGCATTTTATCGACTGATGTCAGGGTTCCCACGCATAATCTAAGTCAGCTGGGCTATTGGGTTTCACCCCCTCCAATCTCCAAGGCCAGACAGAGCAGTGTTCAGACTGAGACATTTGCAGGAACGGGGGCAGCGGAGAGGATGAACCATTGCAAGGGGGACCCAAGGAGATCCTTCCATGGGGATGTTTTTAGTAATTTGATGCAATTTGGTGCATTCCATAAGCTATTACATGCCTGAGATAAGAGTGGCAGGGATCTTCCCCGTGTTCATGGGATCTTTGTGATCCAGGGATCCTCTAGCATGGTGCGGGATGATCCCTCTCACACACAGAGGAATCCTTCCCTTGAATATTGGGCCAGGGAGCAGGGGCGCCTGAACAGAGGGGACCAAGGGGCCCTAGCCCCACCATTTTTTACCGGTTGTAAGGGCGAGCAGTGGGAGAGAGGGGGAAGAGAGGAGCGAGCAGGGGTGGGATCTTGGGGGGGAAGAGGCAAGTTGGGGAGGGGTCTTGGGGGGAAGAGCTGGCATGTGGGTGGGGCCTTGGGGAAAGAGGCAGCGTTGGGGCCTGGGGAGAAGGGACAACATGGAAGCGGGGCCTCTGAGGAAGGGGCGATGCGGGGGTGGGGCCAAGGTTTGGGCGCCGGTGGCCCCCGCACTTTGAGGTAGCTTCCGCCACTCCTGCCAGGGAGTGTCTGGAATGTCCCCCTCCCATACAATGTCATTCCCTCTATTTTATCTCCTAGGACAAGCAGGGAATTCCCTGGTGGTTAGGACTTAGCTACAAGGGCATTTTTCAGTACGACTACCATGACAAAGTGAAACCAAGAAAGGTAAGTGTATTCTCTCCCGGGCTGCTCAGAGATGTGCTCACCTCTTGTGTTATGGATTGAGTGGCAGCATAAAAGGCGCTGAACCTTGGCACTGAGTCGTATCACTGAAGTATAAGGATGGTGGGGGCGGATATAAGGAGTTTCTCCCAACACTGCCTGAGGGTCTACAGAAAGTTGACATGCAGAACTCGCCCCTACTTTATTGAAGTGCTGTAATGTTGGGAAAATTGAGCACTGTTAAATATACGGCAGCTTAAGCTATTGTATTCACCTTGGTTTGGCCCAGTTCCTCCAAAGGCGTAAGACGTGGGAACATATGGCCTGATCCTGCAAAATACTGAGCACCTTCAGCCCTATTGGCTTCAAGTGGAGTTGAGGATGCTCAGTAGTTCAGAGGAGTCATCCCTAAGGACCGGATCCGGTGGCGCTTTGGCTCAGGCCATACACGATCAGAGAAGTAAAGAGAGCTGGAGACATATAAATAAGGGTGAGAGTGGAAGGGGTTGGTGGACTTTTGGGTTTTGTTTCTCCCCCTCAGGACAAAAAGTATCATGTTTCAGGGCGCAAAATGGCAAATTTAAGGGGGCCGGATTAACTTTGAGGAGTGGATATTTTAATGGTTAAGGGCCCATATCAATCAGACAATGGTAAAAATGCTTCATCACACACCTGAAGAAAGGGAAGGAAAGCATTCCCACTTGCGCTTTAACTTGTCTGAGAACTCTGCAGTGAAAAACCCCCCAAGTTACGGCATTACCTGCAAGCAGCTTTATTCTAAAGCACAAGCTTGGACTACATTTTCAAAAGTGACGAGCCAAGCTGGGCGCCTCCTGTTTGGGTGCCCGACTTGAGACACCTTAGAGGGGACTGGTTTGGAGGGAAGAGGTGCTCAGCGCTTTCTGAAAATCAGGCCTGAGTGAGGTGTCTCAAATTGGACACCCAAAGCTGGGGGCACCCAAAATGACCAGTCACGTTGATAATTTAAGCAAAGAAATTTTAATGAAATCAGCTTAAACATCCTGGAACTTCTTTGGAAGGAATGTTTGGGTCACCTGAGCTCATTCTCCGATATAGACTCCCATTTTCTGGTGTTATGCCCCAGCCTTTATTCCTTAGCAGTACAACTTGCTCCGCAGACTGGTCCGCAACATCAGCTAACAATATTTGTCCTACCTGGGAAACCAGTGAGATATCAGAAGGCAGCAGATTCTCGCCTGGCTTCCAGGGGGCAATGCACAGCTGAGCTCCCAGAACACTGAATAGCACATTAGCAGATGTAAATGCTTCCTCTAAATTAAGAGCTCTGTGTTTCTTATTGCGTTGTTTCTGTGCCAGATAGCTCTTTCTCGGTCACTCATTTGTCCATGCAGCCTGCTTCAGCAGAATCAACCTTCCTCCTCTTCATGCAAATTAGTTTGTAGGTGGTGATCACGTGTAGTTCTTTAGCTATGATAAACTGAAATGTCCACGGTGGAAAACAGAACTCATGCTGCGGAGATCAGACTATACACTGGTTAACCACGGCCTTGTCTCTGTTGGGGGCTTTCACACAGGGAGTGACAACGCCACCAAAGATACACCTATGAACTCCTAGGGCAGATGCATTGCACTGGGGTAAATCATTACTTGCAGGGTAAGCCACATTCATGCAAGTGATGGTTTAGAGTGTGTCTACACTAGGGGGTTTGCACTCACGGCTACATCGGTGCCAAAGCCCCAATAGAGACATGTCCTTAGAATCTGCTTCCAAAAGTCAGGGTCAGCCACAGAAACTGCTCCTCCCTGCCGCTTCCTCCTTCCTATGATAGGATTGAAGCAGAAGCAAGGATGATAGGGAGAATCAACCTGAGGAATCCAAGAGAAAGGAGACTAGACCCTGTGCCTCCATTAGAGGCAACAGTGCTGTTCTCTTTGGGAGAGTCAGGCCTTCTTTCTCTCGTGTTTCATCTTCCCTTCTCTCCCTGCTGCTGCTCTGAGCGGTCTTGTCTGCCTGCTCAGCCCCAAAGTAGGTTAGTGCTGGCTACAGCCATGGCCCTCACCCTACTTGCCTCCTGCCCTCTCGTCCCTCCTGCAGCAAGCTGGGTCGCACGTACCTCCCAACCTTTCCTCGGAGCAGTGGCAGTAAGCAAGGAAAACTGGCCGAGAGTTTGGCGTTTGCATTGCTTTTGCTAAGATTGTTGTTTTTACTTTGGCAAATGGGCAGTTTTGTGTGTTGTGTGAAATCCATGATGACCATGACAGTAATACCGCCTGACTTAGAAACATGAGGGGGAAGTTCTGTGGCTTGGGGCTGGTCTACCCTGAGGGGGGGATCGATCTAAGATACGTGAATAGCGTAGCTGAAGTCGAAGTATCTTAGATTGATTTACCTTGGGTCCTCACGGCGCAGGATCGACGGCCGCGGCTCCCCCGTCGACTCCGCTACCGCCGCTCGCTCCGGTGGAGTTCCAGAGTCGAAGGGGAGCACGTTCGGGGATCGATATATCGCGTCTTAACAAGACGCGATATAATGATCCCCGATAAATCGATCGCTACCCGCCGATACGGCGGGTAGTCTGGACATACCCTAAGTGGGGGTGATCACAAATCTTGGGGGTCTGGAATGGGCAGGCTAGATGATTCCTCAGTGGAGTCTGTCAGATGTAACCCAGGGTTAGGGTGATCAGAGAGCAAGTGTGAAAAATCGGGGGGCAATAGGCACCTATATAAGACAAAGCCCCAAATCGGGACATCTGGTCACCCTACCCAGAGCGTAACCGGCGTAAAGCCTGTCTGAACCAGTGCTGCTGAGTTGCAAAGTGCTTGCAAACCCCATCCACTGGGGGGGAATGCAGATAGCTAGTGTTGGCCCTAATATGAGCAGCGTGGCAGGAGGAAGGCATGGTTAGATGGGCCGAGGATGCATTGTGGATCCCCAAATGCTATTTAAAGCTCTCTTTCCCTGGCACAGTAAAAAGCCCAAGCCAGAAAACTTCTCTGGTTAGAGCAACCCCTGTTGATTCAATGTGGCACAATTTTTGTTCTGCCTAGTTAGGTTTTCACATTGCACCCATCACCATGGCATCTGGGAGTCTCTTGTGGTATCTGATTTAACTTCTCTATGCCAGCAGAAGTTGACTCAAGCTTTCCAAGTGCAGGAGGAGAGGGGGAAACACTTTGTAGAACTTTCTGCAGAGAAGCTGTAAATGTTAAGCAAAGTACGTAGGGAGGGAAGGCTGCAGCTTATGGCTTTTTTGATCTTTCTCATTCAGTTTCTCTGCGATGCCAAGACCAAGAACAAATTGAAAAATTGCAATGGAAAAAAAAAAATCTCTCTGGAGAATGCACAGGCAGAAAATTGTGGCGAGGAAGCAGCTGAAACCAAGAAATGTATATTAAATGCATATAAAAACCTCGCTTGTCTTATAAGAGAGATTGTAATGTTTTCCTATGATGTCATCTGAGATAGTTTTCCATGCTTATTGTGTGCGCACGTAGAACTATAATCCACACTGGCTAGCTGAGCCTATCTCACGAGAGTCCATTAGCGTTCAGTCAAAACCAACTTTTTAGTGACTGGCCGAGTAAGTCGGCGATATGTCTGTGGAATCCTAACTAGGTTTGTCAGCAGGTCTGATGAGGTCAGAGAGGCGAATTCATGCAGAGGATGATCTCATTTGCACCATTTTAAATCTGGAGTGACTCCATTGACATCATTGGGGTTGCAACAGAGCTCAGTCTCTGGCCCAGAGTATCAGATGGATTGTGGGGGTGCGGGGATATTAAATAGGAACGCAGCTCTTAGTGCACTGTGGAGCTGTATATGACTATGTGGCTGTGCTTTTAAACCCCTCCTGCTTATGCTTTGAATCACTAGAAACGCCAAGGTGCAGTTAAACTAGCATTCACTCTGAATCGTCTTCCTCCCACCCCGCTCTGTTTTTCTGACTTACATTTGGAGTAAGTAGTTGGCCTGGAGGGTTGGCCATGGGCTGTGCTTCATTTGTAATGAAAGAAGTGCTAGGGCTCAAGCCATGTTTTTATTTTCATAACTGATGTGGCAAGCCCGGAGGTGCCGGGGCTATGAGCTACCAAGCCCAGAAGTGCCAGGGCTATGAGCTATCAAGCCCAGAGGTGCTGGGGCTATGAACTGCCAAGCCCAGAGGTGCCGGGGCTATAGAATCATAGAGTTTAAGGTCAGAAGGGACCATTATGATCATCTAGTCTTCCTGCACAACGCAGGCTACAGAAACTCACCCACCCACTCCTGTATCAAACCTGTGTCTGAGCCATTGAAGTCCTCAAATCATGGTTTAAAGATTTCAAGATGCAGAGAATCTTCCAGCAAGTGACCCATGCCCCACACTGCAGAGAAAGGCAAAAAAACCCCGGGGCCTCTGCCAATCTGCCCTGGAGGAAAATTCCTTCCCGACCCCAAATATGGCGATCAGCTATAAACCCTGAGCATGTGGGCAAGACTCACCAGCCAGACACCCAGGAAAGAATTCTCTGTAGTAACTCAGATCCCACCCCTCTAACATCCCATCACAAGCCATAGGGCATATTTACCACTAATAGTCAAAGACCAATCTTATTATACCATCCCCTCCATAAGCTTATCAAGCTTAGTCTTGAAGCCAGATATGTCTTTTGCCCTGACTACTCCCCTTGGAAGGCTGTTCCAGAACTTCACTCCTCTGATGGTTAGAAACCTTCATCTACCAAGCCCAGAGGTGCCGGGGCTATGAGCTGCCAAGCCCAGAGGTGCAGGGGCTCAGCCCTGCCAAGCCCTGGCACAAATTAAGCACCGGCAGTGCCCAGGAACTCCAGAACAAGTATGGGTGAGTGATGGGGGGAGGGGACCTAGAGGAGCGAGCCGGGGGTGGGACCTCAGGGGAAGAGGTGGTGCGTGGGCAGTGTCTTTGGAGAAGGGGTGGTGCGAGGGAGGAGCCTTGAGGAGAAGGGGCAGTGCGAGGGCAGGGCTTCGTGGAGGAATGTGCAGCATGAGGGTGGTGGTTCAG